AGAGAGAGAGAGAGAGAGAGAGAGAGAGGGAGTTGTCATGCATTGAGCACGCATTTAGAGAGATGGATAGATAGAAAGAGAGAGAGTGAGATGTGGAGAGAGAGAGAGATAGTTACAGAGAGAGTGAGATGTGTCATGCATTAAAGATGCAATACATTTGAATTCCCTTGATTCACTTTTTCTATATCTGCCTTCTTCTGTGATCATCAGTGCACTGATGGTACTAGAATCAATGGAGTCTGGTTTTAATGGCTTACGCCTCTCTGTCTCTTATCACTCTTGTCTCTCTCAGATGATACAAGAAACACTTCTTCCAGCCTCTGTGCATGTCCATCCAAGAAAGAAGAAGAGTAAACAATCTGCTGCACTTGTTGAGATGAGAGAGAAAAGGACCAAGCAAAGAGGGGATATTGAGAATTCGCCATCCCACACTAATGCCTACTTGGAGGGGAATACTAAACCAGAGAATGGGCATGTTATAGTAACTGAATCTCCTCCACAAGCGAAGGCCACTACAGCAATATCATCCTCCCCATACCCAAATGTATGTTTCCCCCCTTTAGGTTTCTATTTTCTTTCTTTTTTTCTTTTTAATTATCAACCTTTTCCTTTCAGAAATTTATGCTAATATCCCCTAATTTTTTGTGGTATTAAAAAATATCCCCAATGTGTCACATTTCATGCGTGTGCCTTTTTTTTATTTTCTTTTTCCAAATCTTGGTCGGAACTGTCATTGTAGGTAATCGAAGCAGTATGGGACTAATAGTTTCCGACCACTCGTTATAAGGATCCCAAGCAGTCTGGAACTATTTGGAACTATAGTTCCAGACTGCTCATTGTAAGAATTCAAAGTGGTCCGGACCTATTAGTTTCGAACCACTCATTGTAACAAATCAAAGCAGTTTGGGACTAAGCAATCCAGAAGTAATAGTTCTAGACCGCCTTAATTCCCAACAAAAAGTATATGTCATAGCAGGCCAGCACTACGAATCTTGAGCAGCTCCTTTTAAGGAATCAATGGCATCGGGAACTAATAGTTCTCACCGCTTTTATTCCCTACACAATGTATAGATCAAAGCAGTCCAGAACTACTAGTTTCGAACCAGAGGGTATTTGGGAAAAAATTAAAAATACTAAAAGAGGACATGAATCTAAAATATAAAATATGTGAATTTCCCTTTTATTATATCTATGTCCTTAATTTTCTATTTTCTATTTTTCTTTTTCTTTTTTTTTCCCTTATAATTGCTATAATGTTTAGTCTAGCTCAGGTTGGCTCATGATTTTGCATCTCTCTTGACTGCAGTATCCTGATTTGAAGCCTCCTTCATCTCCTACTCCTTCCAAGCCCACCAACTGAGGCTTGTTTTTCATGGTGTTTCTTCATTGTTCTATTTCATATTTTTTCCACCACTGTGTTTTTCTGATTGTTTTTTTGAACGTTTGTGCAAGTGTGTTGTGTTTTGTAGCTTATGTGGATTTTCAGTCTTATGAATTGATGAGTCCATTTCAAAATCCCCAGGCAATATGAGACATGGACACTTCACCAAGGATGAAGAAGAGAAAGTGCTCTGGTCATTGAAATGTAAGATTATTCATAGGATGGATTATTTACAAAGAGACTATTTATATATGGAGATCATAATCAATCTCATTCATTAGATGTCAAATTAGATGGTTTGGGATGAGTTACGAAATTCGAGAATTTTTTTGAAACATTATATCTATTCAATGATATTTTTACAACCATCCATTTTGAAATTTAAGGGACATTTTGAAATTTAAGGGACAAAAATGATTGTAACTTTCTAGTACAAAATATAAAGAGTCTCTTTTGTAGACAATCCCTTTATGGGAACAAACTCAAGGCATAATTGGTTAGTGCAGTGGGTGCACAAAACAAGACATCTTGAGTTTCATGCCGACTATAGGAAATGAATACTTTTTGCTGATCTAACTTAAAAATGCATAATAAGGTTATTTACTTTGGGTACAAAGATATTATTCAACTTTGGTCATTGGATGTGAATGGGGTCGTTAAAAGAAATCACGGATGTTGGGCTCAAAGTTGAATATAATTCTTTTTGGATCTTGTGACACATCACAAACTATTATATTTTACTTTCGATGGTTATGGGTAATTGTGACTTCTTTTTACTGTAGTTAAATAATCTCATTATTAGTACAATCTTTACAATCTTTATTTTATTAGTACATAGAATATTTTATTGGTACATGTAATGGATAATGAGAGAATTTTCCTTTGTGGAAATAAAGAGTGATGTAAATAACTTTAAATTGAAACAATAAATTTTTAAAAAATAATATTTCAAGTTAAGAACTTGAAAACAAATTAAGTATTCATGTTATTTGACTTGCGTCATTTAAACGAAGTTAAATTATTTTTAAAAATGCCGATTGTTTTCAGTATTTATCTTAACAAAATATTTGATAGGATGCTTTAGTGAAATAATCTTCTCAATTAACGACTTTATCGATAAATCGGTTGACTCGATCGCTTTAATTGCATGTAAAATGAAGTTTAATATCAATTTTAAAACTTCATAATCAAGTTTCTACTAGAAGCTCGACAAAAGAGAGCTCAATTATCGGGTCAAGTTCGGGTCTTAGGTGGACCTAGATAGGAGTCGCTAAGTTAGGGCTAATCCAGTGTAGGATTAGGTATAAAAAAAATAAATTTAAAATGAATATATATATATATATATATATATATATATGTATATATAATATTACATATATATTATATATAAATATCGGCTCGGATTATTCAGGTTATGTCGACATTGACTTGGGCCCAATTTGACCCAATAAGGTGCATGAGGGATCCAAACCCAAGCCTGACCTAGGTCTAGTCCCATGGAACCAATGCTTGGGTCCAGACGAGGAGCCCACTCAGTCGACCCCTTACGTGACCCAACTGCCAACCCCACTAGTCAAATGGGCAAATTTTCCTCGGGCCATTATTTTTCGAGAATTTTTTGTCCGAAATTCAAACTAATCGAATTCCCCGAAATTCAAAGAAAAGGAAAGATTTTATGTTTGTATACTGTTTATTTATTTATTTAGGTAAAATTTAATTTCGGATTAACTTAAGGAGCCCGGGTTTTGAGGATGTAATATATAGGCCGATCTCAATAAATAAATAAATAAAAAGGTTCCTTCTTGCTCTTTACATACAATTAAAAAAAAAAAAGGTCTCAAGATTGAACACAAGCCATCAAATTTTTCAAGTGAGATCTTGGGTGGTGTTAAAAACTCCAAATTTTAATTTTTGTGTTTGTTTTTAAAGAATCATCTAGCAGTTCTCAGTGATTCAAAAAATCTAAAAACGAAGGACATAATCATTGTTGGTGCCAAACATGGATTGTTTATAAAAAGACTGCTTAAAAAATCACAATCATTCTTGTCCTTCAAATTTTAAAGTGGTAGTTGTAAGAATGTACAAAGTTCAAAAAAAATATTCTCGGACTTTATGACTCATTCCAAGCCATCCAATGAATATGAATTGTGAATAATTGTGACCTCCTTGTACAAAAGCTAAATGGTCTTTTTGTAGACAATTTCATTCCAAAAAAGAATTGTCTATAAGGAGACCACTTACCTTTTGTATAAGGAGGTCCTAATGTGCCAGTATATGTACACTATGCTCCCACAAGAGCATAGTATCACCAAAATTAACTAGTATACTCATACTTGGAGAAAAGTTTAGGGAAAATATCTCCTTATCTTTTATTTTTAACTTTCATATTTTATGAGACCTAATAATTGAAAATACTATTTGTAAGTAAAAAGTCTTCATCTTTTTTTTCTTATAACCCTTAAGCTTCTTTGACCATAAATTTTTTACCCAAATAAATAGGAGTTTGGGTTATAGAAAGAGATAGAATTTGAGTTTTAGGAATAGAAATGGAGTTTGGAGAGAGAAAGAGAGAGTTTGGGTTTTAGAGAGAGATGGAGTTTGAGTTTTAGAGAGAGATGGAAGTTTTGAGAAAAAGAGACAATGATGTGAGAGAGATGGAGTTTTAGAGAGAGAGAGATAGAGTCATTTCATAAATTGTTGAGGTCACTAATACATGGTCAAAAGAGTTTAAAGGGTTGAAAAATAGATAAGATGGAGTCATTTTACTTACAAATAATATTTTTAATTCTTGAGTCTAAGGGATATAAATATTAAAAATAGAAAATAATATGATATTTTTCCAAAAATTTATATAGAGCCGGTGCTCTAAATAATCACATTAGGGCCTACATAAAACATTTCACCAGAAGAGGTTGTTTTGATACCCGAATATTCTCAATTTGATCATCTCGGCATCAAGATGCATGGACATAAAAAAAAAAAATGGATTTAAAGTTTTAAAAACTATGATTCTTGTAATGCATTTTTGGACCGTTAATTTTC